CGGCACCAGCCTTCCCTGTACCGAAAAATGACATAAATGTATAGGAGATAGCAATGAACGGTTTTATATAATTATCAAAGACTCTTGTGATGGTTCGTCATGTAACAATCAAGGAGTTTCTAAAGGTTGTAAGATTTGAGAAGCAAAGAACATGTATTAAAAAAACACAACTTACCACACACAAAAGGATCGTTCCTTAATAGTGATGTGAGGAGGAAATGCAACACGAATGGCATTACACTCGGCAGCTTTTGTCGAAGGAGGTGGCACGGTATGTTGCGATAATAGAACATCCATATGCTCTGCGTCCAGTACTACGTCATATCGACCTACGGGAATTTATTTGAGAATACTAAGCAAGTTGTGGAGAAAATCGTTTACCATTAGTAAGTTTCGCGAGTTGTTTGCACACAAATAGTTCAGCCCCAAGACCAATCACCGAACATCTGATGTTGTGACCTCTAAGAATCTGGAATACCACATGCGTAATTCCACAAATTAATACTCAGAAAGCTGTCGTACATACCTCAAAAGTGGAGAATATGTTTCCGGGATCCACCGTGGAAAGACTTGACATTATTACAATGACCTCGCGCGAAACATGGCCAGGCAAACTCCTGAAAAATTGGAATGAGGGTCCCTTCAAGTCAATGAGTAGTCAAGTAAGGCACATCGGTATTTGCGAAGAAGGCAGATTTCCAGATTGAAAATGGATTTTACCCCAAGGATAAACTTCTAGCTGTTTTCACGAAACATGAAACTCAAAAAAATGGGAAAAAAAAGAATAAATTCTTTTGCATGTTCTATTTATGTATGAGCAATACAAGAGGCTTGAGAAAGGAGGAAATTACAAAGCTTAGATTAGAAGAGATGATGAAAAAAGTAACATTCATACAAAAAAGGATTTTGGGTAAACAGTTAGGAAGGGCTTACTTCAAATTTGTCAAAGCTAGTTGTAAAGCATTTTGAAGGGAGAAATCTCCGCTACAAATAGCTTCGTTGATCGAATTCAGATGTTCCTTTAATGTTCGCACATTGCCTAGAAATTGAAAAAATAAAAAGTGGCAGTTTCACAAGAAGGTTATAACTCACCCGTGAGACTCACGAAGCGCTCAGCTTTTTTGTCTTTCACCAAGATAAGACCTAGTTGGGCTATGGGGTTCTGTTCAAAAAATTTGTCCAAAAAGTTGCCAAGTATCTGAAATATTATTGTTTTATAATGTTTAAAAATGTGGTCAATCTAGAAGGAGAAACACTTAATTTTGATATCGTTTAAGAACTGCCACTGGGAAAAACGAGGTTCACACGGGCAAGATCAGTAACAAATCAGAATTACTCAGTATGTAGTTACTTTCAAGCAACATAAATGAAAA